GCAAGAAAAGACATTTTCAAGAAATATGTATAACACACAGCAATAGCATTTGTGCTCCCCTTCATCAAGCCTTAATCTGATTTTATTTTTAAGCACATAATTATCCAACATTCTCAGAGAAATGCATTAATGACTCATTAGAGAACAGTACTGAACTTCAACGTCTGAAAAGAATTCAGGCTTGACCAGAAGTCTGCAAAGAGATTACAGACTTTCTTTTCTAGACAGGCTCTAAAGCATTGCAGAGAGGTTAAATTGAGATGATTGACAGCCTTCACCAGAGAGAAGCACAGGTTCAAGTCAGATCACAGACCTCTTTAGAGCTTTCAGGTAGGGCAGAGCTCTCCTCCAAACCTAAGCTACAGAAACAATAAGACACAGATACACAGAGAACATTGATAAGTTTGTGACCAAAGTGTTTTGCTCAACTGAATTTGCTATCAAGCCAAGCTTATGTGCTTTCTATGTATCTTCAAAATTAAGGCTGTACAATTTATCAAAAATTAAACTAGGAATTTTATGAAGAAGCCTAAGTAAGTCAGAAACCAAATACTCATCAAATTCTGCATCCGCAACTCTTTGAGAGCTTTTGAATTTTTTACCTCAGCTACTGAAACCTGAGTGCTAATAAAACACAGTCCACATCACCAGGATGCTACAGTGACAAAAACCAGAAGTGGCAACATTTTACATGTGTATAGCGCCTTCTGTCAGAAAGCAAAGACATTTTAAGAATAGTCTTAAATAAAGTGACAGGCAGTACTTGCAGTTTAGTTCTCACACTTTGCAAATGAGAAAACAAGGCATAGATAACTCAAGGTATCTGATAAACGTAACACATAAAGCCATTAGCAGAAACCACACTGAATACAGATCACAAGGGCTTAATTCCCTGGTGTTTGCAAGAAAAAAAAGGATGCTTTGATTAAAACTACAAGTCAATCTTAGCCTAAATTACTCTGTTCAGTCACAGCCTGCCACTGTTTTTAATTATACTTGTGAACTTGTAACTGTTAAGTGAAGCCAAAGTTATATTAAGTAGTTTATCAAGATTAATACTATCCAAAAGAAAAATAAGGTGGTGTGGGGGGCATAAACCAAGAAAGCTCCATCCTCTGCTGTTTTATTCTCCTTATGCTTGGCTCAAGTAGCTGCCATCACTTTCAACACACGCTGCTCTTGTTGTGCCAAAGGGCTGCTCCTGGATTCATCTGTGTTCTCAACTGGATCAAAATACTCCAAAAAGCATCCAGTGTGGCACAACTTCTCACACTGGCACTGCCAATTTTTTCACTGGCATGATACCCCTGAAACTTTCTGGCAATCCTTAGGTTATGAAGCAGTCACATGCAAAGATTTGCTTGTACAACTTGAAAAAGAGATGGCCCACCACAGAAATTCTTTTAACAGTAATGTTCTTGGTACTTATGAATAGCTTTGCCATGGACCACTTTGAAAAACTGTTTTCTTAAAGCTTTCCTTTAAATAACAAATCTCAAAGCAAGTATTTTCATCTTAAAACATCACCAGAAGGGAAGGACTCAGATTACTCAAAACCAATATGCTTTAAGGGAGCATAGTGCTGCAGGACTCAACACAAGCATATCCCTTTTTAACTGAGGAGAAATAAGGCACAACTGGGTCAACTTCAGTTAACTTCACTTGAGACACAACTCAGTGGAGCTACACTAGAAATGAATGTGGTGTGTCAAGTCTTGTTGGGAGTTCAAACAGACTTGATCCAGCTCAGTTCAATGTTGGCAAGAAGCTAAAATCTCAGCTCAATATCATTTAGGAATAGAATAAAACTGATCAGTAAAAAGTTGTATATGGAGAAGAAAAAGAGCTGAGGACAGCAAAACAAAGTGCCTGTGATGGTTAGTAGGAGGACTAACACTGTTCTTGAGCTTCCAACAAGATCAGATGAGAATATCAAATTATGTTGTTAGTAGAGCAAATTCTGCTGTTAGTTGTATCACACACTTCTATAGGGTGTTTCTAATACTGTGACATTGCACCCAGAGGTAATGTGGTCACTGAACAACCTAAATGCTGTAAAAATTCCTGCACCACAGAGTGTCACATTGGTTTAATGCAGTACATGAAGATTTTCAACTCTTTTTCTTCCATTTAATATATATGAGTGAAATTCCAGCAATAATACAGTAAGATAATTCTTGTTCAGAGCTTTAAAAAATGTTTCTGATAATATCTAATTTGGTTTTGTTGGGAGGTTTTTTTATGACAGACTCCTCTGGCTACCTATACAAGAAAATCACTCAGAGGCAGGAAAAACATTACAATATATTCCAGGTATCTGGATTGTGTGCATTTTGTTCACAATTCCTTTAAAATGCTCTGAGCAGCTTCATTCTATCTGCTTCCAAAGAGTAAGGAGCATGGGAATGTACAGACAGTCTAACTTCTCAGAGGAAAGGCACCAGAAAAGCACAGTGTCCAAAAATAAAAGTCCTCATCTTACTCTCTTGTTTGGTTGTACAGTTTTTATTATACTTCTTAGATCAATATGAATGAAACTCATAATTCATCTGACTTGCCAGCAGGAAGAAAATGAAGTTTTACTTAATCTGCTGTTAAATCATTCCAGATATATGCCCAAACCTCATTCAGCTTCGGGTTAGAACAATATCAAGTCCAAATGCTACAGTTTTTTTCTTATCCTTTAAAATAATTTGCAAAATATAAATTCTTATTTTCAGAAATCTTCCAAAGTGATGGGACACTCAGCTTATTCTTAGCAGCAGAATGTCTTAGAAAAATAAACAGAACAACACAATCACTGGAACACTCCTCTGCCATTATTAGAACCTATGTGCAATATATTTACTGTCCCTTACCAGTATATTACAGTGGAAGAAAAATCAGGTCACAGGGAAGGAGTAGGAGTTTTGTTTCTTGGGAAGATTTTCACTACTGAGATGTTTAAGGTGAAAGAAACTCCTATGACTCAATACATAACTTAGAGAAGAAACCAGACTGTACCAGTTCATAGAGAAAAGATAATAAAAATGCTTGTGTTCTGTGTATGTGGATAACATGGACACCTAAAAGTTTATTTTGGCAGGGTGTTAAATCTGTTATTCCATGACTTTCCTTCACAAACCATGTATTTTATTAGTATTTTTCTATTTACTAGAAAAGATAGTGCCAATTCTTTCTCTCTTACAACACAAGAGCATTTCCAGCCATTTTCCATTTCAATCCCTCAACAATTTTTTAACAGATGTAAGAAACATGCAGCATAAACATAAGTGTATCAAGAAAAGGTTTTCTTTCCTAGTTGCCTTTACAGAGCTCTTGTACTCAGGTATTGCTCTTCATGAGTTTATAGAATGAAAGTTTAAAAAATGTTTCAATAAGAGTAAATTTGCAGTAACTGCAGTCATTTATGGGAGAATTATTTGCCAGATTTGCTGTAAGTCCTTTATGAATTCACAGGACATCAACTCCAGACTCAAAAAAGAAGAGGACACAGTGACAGACTTATAACACATAAAACAACCATTAAAATTGCTGCAGTTTAATTTGTAGCTAGAGATTCAAAGGAGAACACACTTCTAACTCTAAGCCCCTTGAGGAAGCTGTGGAATTCTCACTTTTGGAGACCTAAAGGTTTGCAGAAGAGGAGGAGAGAAAACATGAGTAATAATCTAAATTTTACTACTCCTTTTTTCAGAGTAGTGCAGTAGCTGGCTGCTAGAGATCCTTTCCAGCCCTGCAGTACTTGACATCACAACAGCATTTGGCAATACCATCACAGCTTTGTGGTTTCCTTAATAAAAAAATAATAAAAAAAGAACTCGTAACAGTCCCACAAAGAGTATAAAATAATTAAATTTCAAAGCATTCTTGCAACAGAAGGATTTCTTTCAGAGTGCAAATACAACTAAGCTAGCAGCTTTACTTCCATTTCAATAAAAACAAATTCTGCAGCTCGCTTGCTTGTTAGTGAAAGGAGGGTTTTTCTTTTAATCATACTCCATCAGGTAGCTGTAGAAGCATCCATGAGACTCGCTCTATATTCCAACTTACCCTGTTCCATCCTGAATGCTTACAGCACGGAGTCATCGTGTAGCACACACGAAGTGTAATTAATTCTAAAATTTGCAACAGTTCAAAAGAATTGCAAGTTACGCATTAGAATGATTTCACATCTTCAGAGTTACACGTTTACGCCTACCACAGACACCCAGAACAGTACGGAGCGAGCAGCAGCCCTGTGGAGTGCAATTAACGAAGGTGGACCACAATGTGCGTGCGGGTCGCGTATCCGAAGGACGAGAGAGTTTCTCACCCAAGTTTTTAGGAAGTTATTAAGGGAAAACACCGTATCTGCTTCATCAGACACGGGGTGGTTTCCCCGTCACAGCGCTCTGTTCGCAGGCGAGAGAAGCAGACGATGCTACCTGGAGAGCGCCGAACGCCGCCAGCACCGCGGGGCCGGGACAGCGGGGACCGAGCTGGCACAGACCCCGGGCTGCCAGAGACAAACAGACAGATCCCGGGCTGCCACAGACAGACAGACAGACAGACCCCGAGCTGCCACAGACAGACAGACAGACCCCGAACTGCCACAGACCCCGGGCTGCCACAGACAGACAGACAGACCCCGGGCTGCCACAGACAGACCCCGAGCTGCCACAGACTCCGGGCTGCCACGGACGGACAGACCCCGGGCTGCCACAGACGGACGGACGGACAGACCCCGGGCTGCCACAGACGGTCCCCGGGCTGCCACAGCCCCGTGGCCGCGGCTCCGTGCGCTCCCAGCGCTGTAATTGACACCGTCCCCCACACGGAGGTCTCAGGCAAGCTCCGTCCGCCCCGGCCCCACCGCGGGACGCTGCGCCCCGGCTGCCCGGGCCAGGGGCTGCTCGCCCCCGCCTCAGCCCGCCCCGCTCCCTCACGGCACCGGGACCCTCCGCGGGCCGGGGCTGGAGCCGCCTCCGGCGCGGGGGCTGCGGGGCTGGGGTACTCACATGCCAGATGGCGAAGAAGATGAGGGCGGCGCACAGCACCAGCGACAGCATGTAGCAGAAGGCGGCGAAGGTGAAGGCCATGGCGGGGAGAGCCCTCCGCGCCCCCCTCCGCCGGGCGGGAGGTGCCGGCGGGCGAGCGGCGACCCCCGGAGCGGCGGCGCGGCCGGCGGAGCGGACAGCGCCTCACGCAGCCGGGGCCGGGCGGCCGCCGCCCCCCGCAGCCGCGCCCGGGCCCGCCCCGAGCCCCGCAACGCCCCCGGCCCGGCCCGGCCCGGCCCCTCGGCCGCGATCCGCTCCCCCGCAGGCTCCACCCGGGGCGGGTCCCCGGCGGGATGCGCTGGGGGTCCGGGGCTCGGCGGAGCGCGGCTGGCCGGGGGCTCCGCTGCCGCTCGAACGTCTCTGCAGGCAGAGAGAGCCGCGTGTTCCTGACTGAAATCCTGTCACGACAGCGTGAGAGGAAGGAGCGTAGGCTGGGATCAGTTCGGGCCAAATCTTGGGAAGATAATTATGTGCCTAAACTTGAAGTGCTTTGATGGGGGTTTTTGAAGTTTTTTGGGTTTTTTTTCCTTTCAGGGACAGCTAAAGAGGGTGAAGCATTCCCCAGGCTCAGACCAGCGGTGATGTCCATCCTCTGAGGCAGAGGGGACAGGAGCCCAGCCCAAGAGCTCATGAACCAAAGCAGAGCAGCTGAGCAAAGCAAGATCAGTCTGCCCTTTCTCATCAGCTGAAAAAGGCATCTACTGTTGGAGTAAATAAATAAAGCCTTTCTTAACTGCCACTGCTTTCAGGTATATGCAATATCCAAATTGCTGAAGTGCATAGGTGAAATAACAAAGGAAGAGCAAGCTCCTGCCTTCTCTTATTTTTAATGGATAGATCCATTAGTACCTTGTCTTTAACATCATCCACAGTGTCTCCAGACACAACTTAGCTGTTTCTGTAGATCTGGTTTTGATTTACCATCAAAAGTTCTTCCACTTCTTTGGAGCACATCAGCTAGCACAATACAGCAGGTTTGCAAGCAAAAAGTTTTCATGAGAAAATATCAGAGAACCATCAGAAATCCCATTTAAAAATATCTTGAAAACCATGGATGAAAGTTATGTATTTGAAACATCCTTACAAAACCAAACTTTTTTTTTCATTCATTTTATGGATTAAAGGGATTCAGTAACAACACTGTTTAGAAATTTGCCAGTGGTCACCTATGAAAGTCAACCTTCATGGCACAAGGGAACATAATTCCATCAAAGCCAAGTCAAGTGGAAGCTTTCTTTGTAAATGTTTCCAATATATTTTTGTTTAAAAGTACAGTATATTATTTGTAACATAATAACCACTTTTATCCTGAGGAAAGACTGTTGATTTGAATCAAGAGTCAAGGCCAGTAATTAATAAACCAATCAGGAATAAACTGATGGATCTGACCTTTCATAATTGAGCTGCTCCAGACTGTACGTGTGGTCCGATGTTTTAATTAAGAATGACAGGACATGGCAAATAGAAAAGAGATTTATGTTACACAGGGATGCAGTAAACCTATTTATTGTAATTCTCTAACCTTTTAATTTTTTTGTACCTGAAATCCTGTAGAGCATGTAGTTGTGGATGTAAATAGTTTGTTCATAACCATACCTTTTGAAAAGAACAGTGAATGAGGTACAGGAGTCATCTTTGGAAATATTTATTTAATTATTTTGCCATGGTTACTTTAATATCTGGATATATATTACCCATGCTAAGATTCAACACAGAAAACACCTGATTCTTCTAAGGAAATGAAAATAAAATATTTCTTTCTGGAGCATTTATATGTATACACCTCCACGAATATATATGCATACATATGAAAAATATAAATTTACTATAGCTGTCATAAAAGACTGAAACAGAAACAACCCTTAAATCTTAGTTTAGCACCACACTCCAAGGTGAATATTCCCCTGTTTTTCACTCTCATCTTCATTAATATTCCAGCTGTTTATTTGGAGCTCTTCAAGGAGCACACAGGCAAAACACTTATTTCTGATTTTGCAAGGAGACAGTTCCAGAGCCAAAGACTTCCCAGATCACAGAGGCTTCCCTGATACTGACTTTGAAACACACATTGCCCCTAGCCATATTGCAAGCCATTAATCACTGCTAGTGGCTGTCAAATTACAAAAGATTCTGACACACACAGAAGGCAAGAAATCCATAAAGATGCATTTAGAACATTTTTGTCTTACTGAGTTCTTCTTGCAAAATACCATGAGAATACCTTAAGTATCCTCAGATGTTTAAGCCATGGAGAGTGATGGAAAGACATACCCCTCGCTCAGCACACCTCTGATTTGCACTCAGAGATTTGTCTGAGTAATCACAAAAAATCTTCCTTATCTCCATCTCGTTACAAACTCATTACAGCTCTCTGTGGTATGAGGACCTCACAGCAGGGAGCTGTTTCTTTGTCATTTATGAATGAGACTACTGCAAATCGTGAAGCAAAAGGTGAAAATAATATGGATGTGCCTGACTATTTTCTCCCTGGTTTAAGCCCCCGTGAGCACAGCAGGAGCACCGGTCTGTCTATTAGCTCCTCATGCACCTCCATGGTCTTGGTCCTAACCTTCAAATAAACTAATGGACTTGATCTGAGCTGCATGAGAAATTACAGTCCAGTACCCAACTGTGCTCCTTTGAAATGATGTACAGCACAGCAGCCAGGGTGGAGGGAGAGGGAGCTGAGGGTGGAGGCTGTGGGAGCTGAGACTGCAGCATTATCTGCTCAGGGGACCTGGAATGGGCAAAACAGATAAACACAGAGCATAAGATACCTATTTTATGCATATAAAATATATTTTTGCCTTGATGGAAAACTGTTGCTTTCAAAAGCTGTTATTTTAACACTTCTTGAGACCCATGTGGATTTCTACTACTAAAAAATAAAAGGCTCAGAGGTTCTGCAACAATCTCAGGAAATGCAGTAATTCCTGCTCTCTGATGTTCAGCAGCTCATTTTAGCAGCCACACTCTCAGATTTAGCACTTCATCTTTCACTCTTCCGTCCTCAAAATCTCACCAATGCTCCTGCTTCCTCCATGGTATTCCCAAGCCATTTCCAGGGATAGCTGCTCTCTCTCTCTGTGGCTCACACCTGTAACTCTGTGAAAGCAGAAAAAATAGTCAGAAAGCTGAACCATGAGATGAATTGCGGACCAAGTAGAGAGTCGGTCAGAAATGGAAAGTAATTTCTGTTCAGACTGATTAAAAAAGGGTTTCATCTTTAACCAGAGGCTCTTTCTTTTAAATATAATTGATAATAGGTACACAAGGCATTTCAAGCTTGACAACAGTTCCTAGCACAAGTTTTTACGTGAGGTGGCTTTGTCCCACAGTATCCACAAAGACATCATGACAGGGCATATGTAAACCCTGTGGAGAAAAGGGTTTTACAAAAGATTGTTAGGGCTCTTGCTTTCCTTGAGCAGGTTCAACTTTGGAATGCTAGTTATCCCTCTTTGGATCTGGTGCTTGTAAACAGAAAGAATTTCTCTTTATTTTGCATATTTGTTGAAAGATATGATTGCAGTACAGTCTGATCCCAATTTCACACAGAGTCATCACAAGCAGATAGATGGTGGTGCTGCATTTGTACAAGTAGTACTGAGATGCTGATTTTCAAAGCTATCACTCTGCAAACATCACCATAGCTCAAAGCACAAACAGGATCAGGGACTTTTTTACTTAAGGATGGTTTTTTACTTTGTGAGGACCTCTATGAAGGAGCCGTAAAAATTCAGTCACTAGGTAAATAATAAGACAGAACATCTGGTGAGCAGTAGACAGCCCTCAAAAACAAACAACACCCAATTGTGAAAACAGATTGTGAAAACAGATTTAATAGATTCACAAGTTCAGCATGTCCTTACATTAGCAGGTCTCAAAGCACTTGATTTTATGTGAAATGACCTTTTGTGCTAGATAATGAAAGAATTCGAAGGTACTCAAAGAAATTTCCAGTGGCTAATTTACAGAACAGCATCAGAGATGAGAAGGGACTGCTAATGAGTCCTTTCAACTCCCAAATAATTACCACAACTGGATAAACCTAAAGGACAAGTCTTTATAAGGCTTGCAGTCCCTGAAGTGGGAGGCTAAAATCACTGTAAATCCACCCAACACGTGATACACCCTCAGCCAAAGTAGTTAATAGTTTTTTAAGATTTATATATTATTGCTACATTCTTGTTCTTTAAGTGTAACATGTTACTGAATGCCTGTTAAAGCCATTATATTAATTAGAGAACTCTCATTCACAGATTATTTTTTAATAATACATGTGACTCTCTCTTTTGTGAACCTTAAGTAATACTAAATTATTAACAATGCTTATATACAAATTGCTATCATTGGGCTTTACCACTAATATCCCACAGAGATTAATAGAAGCATTTCATACCCCTGTGCATTATTATTTCAGATTATCTGCAGATTCTTGATGAAACTACTCTGTTATTTCATGGTCAGTTCATTTTCCAAAGGTTACCTTTGCAATAATAGAGGCAAGTGACATTTTGTTAATGAAGTCTCATTTTCAGATTTCCAAGAATAAGATAGTTCACAAACCCACTGACAATAATCTCATTTTACTGCCAGCTGTTCCCACCTTTTTTTGTAGGACCTGGATGAATAAATTTTAAGTACATTATCATAAGATCACAGGAAAGTTTATGTCAGAAGGGACTTCAGGCTGTCTCTAGTCTGACCTCCTGTGCAAAGCAGTGACAAAGGCAAGGTCAGGCTTATTGCTCAAGGCTTCATCTGGACCAGTCTGGAAAGCCTCCATGGACAGAGACAGTCCAGCTTCCCTGGACAACCTGTTCCACTGCCTGTCTCAGGTCATCTGCAGCAGAATTGTCAGGTCCCAGCCTGTTTCATTGCCAGGGCTTATTCCCTGCTTAGTGCACAAGTTTACATTTGGCCCTGGTGAAGTTTGTAAGGTTCCTGTCAGGCTACAAACTCCATATTATAGAAATCCACTTTTAAAAGCATGGATTAATTAATATGTGATACAGAAAGGTTCCTAAAGAGCAAAACAAACTTTTCAGAGCATGACACTATAGTTGCTTTGCTTCCACTGTTCCCTTGCCAGCCTGTATCAGAATTACACAGAATCCCACTCATATCCATAAAGGACAGTGGCAAAACTGGGGCTTCAGGTTTGCAGCTCAGATCCCCCAGCTGAAAACAAAGTGATCTCAGTACTGTTGCCATGTTCTGTGCCATGCTCTGGTAACCACAGAGGCAGGGCACTCGTGCTGATTCTTCATGCCACCAGTGATCTACTAGCAATTAGGGGAGTGTTTGTCATCAGGGAATCTGTGACTTTTCCCATTACCTGCAGGGTTAGTGGAGCAAATTTGTGAGCACAGATACCATTCCACCTCGTATTTTTTAAAATATTCTTTTCTCCTCTATTGCTCCAGCCTCCCCTGTCCCTCTACTGCACAGTTCTTTCCCATTAGCCTGTTTTCCCCTTATCTTCTTGTTAGCTCATAGTCTCAGCCTGGTCCATCTACTGCCTTTCACTTCCATACCTCTTCCAAATCCAGATTTAACTCCTGGGAGCTCATCAAGACTGCTTTCTCACCAGTGGTGAAATATCTGACAGCATATTCATCCCCCCAGAAGGACAGGATCTCTGCCCTTGGTTCCAGGGCAGAGGAGAAAAAGCAAGTGGAAAAAGCAATTGCAGGGGAGGTCCTGCTTTGAAGTGAGATGGATTGGGGAAAGGATTTGCTTAATCACAACACATCTCTAATGTCTATGTGTGGAATTGTCAGAAGGATTAGAATTAGACAAAACCATAATCATTCATGGCAACGGGAGAAGTCATCTTCATTGTGCAAAAGTTACCTCCTTCCAGATGTGAAATTCTTCCAACACATGGAAGGCAGGAACCTTCCATAAATTAGTAATGAAATTTTCAGCATTGGCAAAATAGCAACTGTGTGTTTTTCCCAAGGAGATTTTTCTGAACTGGTCAAGACCTTTGGTCTGGAGGGGAAGCCAAACATAAAAATGGGAGTCCGTGAAGGGAATAGAAAGTAAGATCTTAACATAGAATATCTGAAACAGTCTTAATTGCCTTTTACATTACCTATTTTGCTTCAAATCAATACAAGGAAAGCATACAGAAGTAATTCTTGCTAACATAGCTTAATCATGCCAAGAAGGAATTTAATTTGTGTCTGTGCTGGGGAGAGAGTGGGTTACAACTTCATCAGTTCTGAATAACTGATTTCCATCAAAGAAATGAAAAAGGAATGACAAATTTCTGAATAAGCTTTCCTTTAAGAAATCCTTCATTAGTCACTGAAGACCCTGCAGACCTCTAATAAGACAATTTGCATAAGATATGCATTTGTCCAAACACTGAAATAACATTCTGGGCCAGATTCCTCTGATTTTGACAATTTTTCATTTTTCCCACCTTGTAAAACTCTGCTAACCTCCAAGACGTGCTGGTGCTTCCACCCACTGCAGGCTGTATCAGATCACACCCCATGGCTCCATCACTGTGAACAGAGATGCCAGAACAAAGTCAAATATGCAATGCCCTTCAAGAGTTCTCCTTCTCAGAGGATGATTAAATTATCTCCAATTAAACCAAATGCTCTTTGTCTTTCTGTACTGAGACTGATACTGAATGCTCATCCCTGCTGTCCCAAAAATAACAATCTGTTCCAGAAAACCTAGACCTGGTGTCTTTGCTATAATTTAGGAAAAAAAATCATTATTTCACCAAACTGACATATGTGTTCTCAGTGAATTAATGGTCTTAGTCATTTTTAACTTGCAGGCATAAATGAATAGCTACAATATGGTCTGCATAAGTAACACTGTTGACTAATGAATATATAAACATTCAGTTATGGCTTTATTAATTCGGAAAAGTTGTTTTTAATGCAGTTTTATGAGAGGTGAGCTCATCTATGGTACAAAAGGAAGTGGAGGCCATGCAGGTGCACAGCAGCATGTGCTGCAGTAACAGTGGGAATTATCTGGTTGCCATCAGCTCAGGACCCCTGTAGCCCTGTCTCCTTGTCCTCTAACTCATTAAATTAGTATCAGGTTTGACTGATCTCTGTTTGAAAATAACAAATAAATCAGTTGCCAAAAAACCATGAGTTGTATTATTAATGCAGCTCTTTATCAAACACTGAATTTAAACTCTCTCCAAACTGATCCCTTAAGCTTTTGTAACTTTGGAACATATTCCTCATGTTAAACCAGAGAAAATAGAAAAGCCATAAATAGGGATATTTTTAACTGTAGGAGTAAAACTAATGATTATAGCACTCTGTATCACTTAGAATTTCTAGTCACTTCAGCTAAAATCCCTTATAAAAACTATTTTAGCATTTGACAACAAGTACTGAAGAATTCATATTGTAAATTGGAAAAATACCAGAAGAAAAGGTTGGAGGTGGCAATGGAGGAGTTGGGAACATGTTTAGCAAGAAATCTCATGAGAACACTGTGCTGAAAGATCATTTTTATTCTAAATATAAATCTTTAATACATTTAATACATCCTGGCTTTAACATCCTCATATATTTTTATTGCCAGTCTGAAGAAGAGCAAGCAAGACAAGGTGATTCTCTGCAATTTACCTATCTCTTACAAAGAAGAGAAGGTTTGAAATCCTGGTGAAAGGTTCCAGTGCATTTTGTATTGCAAGCATTTCAGTTTCTGTTCTGCCTTCTGCTGGTGTCAAGCAATAGGACAAGAGGCAGAAGCTGGAACACAGAAAGGCTCCCCCTGCAAATTAGGAAGAACTTCCTTACTGTGAAAGTAACACAGCACTGGAACAGGTCACCCAGGGAGGTTGTGGAGTCTCCTTCCATGGAAATATTCAAAAACCAACTGGACACAATCCACCTGCTCTAGGATGACCCCAGGGAGGTTGGAGCAGATGACCCACTGTGGTCCTTTCCAACCTGACCCACTCTGTGATTCTTTTTCTTTCTGTAACCTTGAAATGTCTAGATAAACTTCCCTAAATCACAAGATAAGTTTGGGTCTAGATCTTTAAAATATTCTGTATGCCCTCTGAAATACTCAATTTAACGCTAGCAATAGTTAGGAGAA